ACCGATTCGCTTAATTTACCTTCACCCCCATCTGAAAACCTACCAATCCCTCCGAACCAACTCTCCACTCCTTTCCGTCACTCGCCTATACCAGAAATACCTCCTGTCTCACCTGACCAACCCAATCTAATATCTCCAAATGCTCCCACGCCTGAAACAGAAATCGAAAAAACAAACAGGACACAAAACAATAACTACTCCCAATTTTTAAAATCCATCTCCAATAAAGAATTTACACCAAACACCAGCCTGATAGAACACAACGAAAGCTTGCTAAAATCACCATACAAAACAATTATAATCCCTACATCTATCGATCTCGATGAATCAAACCCTTACATCTCCGAAATCCTTTCAAATCTAGACAATAAAGACGAAATCCTAAAAGCTGAAAGAGAATTATTTTCGTTCCTAAAACTAACACAATCAGATAAAACAATATACTTCATGTTCACGAAGGTCCATTACTTTGATGAAACACCATACCCTGCGATATATGAAACACTAAAACAAATTAAAAACGAAATTCTTCAAACAAAAGATATAACAGATATTGCAATCTCCGATTTTCGAAATCCATTCGACAGACTTTCCCACTCTAAAATATATAATATACTCACCCACCTATTCCATGACTCTAACATCCGCATTCATATTTACCAAAACAAAATAATATATCCCACCTTAAGTGAGAGACCCAAAATCCTCCGAGATAACCACGATATTCCAATAGCGGGACACTTAGGCTCAACCCGCATGTATAACAGAATCCAAGACCAGTACTACTGGAAGGGAATGAGAAGTGACATAGAAGACTATGTCAAGAAGTGTAAAGCCTGCCAAGAAAATAAAGCCCTCAGGAAAATAAACAAATCTCCTATGGAAATTACTACCACATCCACCGCTCCCTTCCAACGTGTAGCTCTAGATATCGTAGGACCTCTACCCGAATCCGGACCCGCTAAGCTCCGATTTATACTCACCTTACAAGACGATTTAACAAAATACTCCGTGGCATACCCTATTCGCAGCACGACAGCCGAAGAAACCAGTGACTGCCTCATTCATTTCATCTCCTTATTTGGAATACCGAAATCAATCCTCACGGACCAAGGGACAAATTTCACTGCCGATCTTTTCAAAACTACATGTCAATTCCTAAAAATTAAACAGCTATGGTCCTCCCCTTATCATCCACAGACTCAAGGAGCTTTAGAACGCAGCCATTCCACTCTTAAAGAGTACTTAAAATCATTCGTCAATAAAAACCAAAATAATTGGCCCACCTACGTCTATACCGGTATACTTACCTACAACACCACTCCACACACTACTACAAAATTCACCCCTTATGAGTTAATCTTTGGACAAAAGCCCTATATTCCAAATTCAATTTACGAGACGAGCTCCGGAACAACTTATTCCGACTACATTAAAATGTTACGACACAAATTTAAATACACACGGGAGAAAGCTGTAGAAAACATTTTGAAATCCAAAGAGTCTTCTAAGTCATATTATGACTCTCACACCAGGAGTCCTCCTCAATATAAACCTGGTGACTATGTCTACCTGAAAAACCATTTAAGACAGGGAAAAGCACTTTCACCTGTCTGGAAAGGGCCCTTCAAAATAATTCGTGTCCACAATAACCATACGGCCTCACTTTTAATCAACAGACGTCACGTAACTCATCACTTCGACGAATTCAAACCCGCCGAAGTGTCTGGGACAAATTAATACGTAAATATACATACATTAGTCATTTAAATTGTAAGATAATCTATATTAATTTATAAACAAATATTTATTTTTATTTTATTTACTATTACGAAATAACTTTTATTTACACCTTATTTATATATCGTTTCAGTGTCTCAACACAAGCGCAACCGGAAATGGTTCAGCCGCTTCCTTCTAGTTCCGGCATCTACTTTGATAAAATAGGGAAATTAAAAATAATAAGAGGTAAACTAGATTTTGTTAGCCATATAGACATTTCGTATATCGATTCCCACGTAAATAACCTTAACGATGTTCTAAATACAGTAAAACTTTTATGTCAACAATCAAACAATCTCTATTGTGATAACACCTTGTCCCCATTAACACGTTTACTGCGGCAAGTAAAATCATAATACTTCATCTAGTGCGGCGGCGGGCCAAAATGCGCCCCCAATGATGTTTCCGCCAGTGCGTGAGTGGTCGATCTAGACCCACCAGCACTAGGATAGATTAAATTGCTATAACTTTGTGGAAACTTAATGTATACATTTTTTTTTATATTGTTAGAATGAGCTTGAACCCAACGTTCATAGGTTTGATTCGCCCCGGGATCTGCCAAACAAGAAATGAGAAATAAAGCAGGAAAAGCGGCAGGCCGATATCGACCTGAACCGCACTAGAAAGTATTTTTAGTAGTGACGGGACAGAGAAAAATAAGGGGATATCGAAAATAAAACAGAATTATCGTAAAAGAACTGTAAAATGTTTTTATTTACTTATGCCTATCTTGGAAACATGTTACGCAAAGGTTTTGGTTGCATTTCCTGCAATATTTCTTTATTTTCTTTACTTTTTTTTTGCTTCGGTACTATTAAAGACTTTCCGCAGTCTGTCGTAGCACCCTGCACAATTTCTTCGTTTAACGCTCATTTCAAGAACATGGTCATTGTCCTTAGGTTTTACTTGATTTTCTGAAATGAATTTTTTTTGCTTAATTCCGTGTGATTTATTATACATTGAGTTTTACCACAGAACTCGCGAAATTGAACAACTTTCCCCAGAGAACATAGGTCGAAATATGAAAAAAAAAAATTGGCCTTCCCTTACAAAATTGACAACCAGCTGATTGATTTACTACTACGGGAGGTCCAACATTTTTTTTCATACTTCGACCTATATTCTTTGGGGAAAGTTGTTCAGTTTCATGAGCACATTCACCTCCTTCGCAGGTTGATACCCCCCTTCCGTTACACGGTGTATAAGGTCATTTTAAATTAAGTGAAAATATTTTTTGCGAATCTCAGAACAAAAATTGTTCTGTAACATGGGCTGAGTTACCCCACGGGAGGTTTTGCGCATTTGGAATTACATGTTGTATAGGTGTAGGGTTGTCCTTCAAGGAGATAACTCAGTATCGCTTATACAACAACTTTCCTTATGGGACCCATGTTGAAATCTTAAAAAAATATTCTCACTTTTCATACAAAAAAATCAGATAGTTTATTCCTCAAATACAATTTTTAATCAGTTGATCGGATCGGTTAGTATGGGAAGCCAAAAATTTTTTTTCGAGTTTACGACATGATAGGGAAATTTGTTGTATAAACGATACTGAGTTACCTCCTTGAAGGACAGCGGTGATAACCCTAACAGCCTGTATATATAGGTATAAAATTATGTATATGGTGTATAATATAGTGGTAACAGGACCTAATGTCTATTTTGTGCAATCAAGTAGACCACTTAAAGCGTTATTTTTATGATAAATGCAGCTGAGTGCCCCGAAATAAGAACTCGCATTATGTGTTATTGAGTAAGTAAACAGTGCCATAACATACCATAATAGAACAGTAGTGCAAACAACGCCAAACATTGCTCGCAGAAAATAGCAGAGTCAGCACAAAGCTCATGCACGAAGACCATGCGCAGCCACCGTAACACTGGTAATATGTTCAAAATAATGACAATAGTTACCTGTTGCAGATGTAGAACGTCTGACGATGTTGAAACACGGAAATGTAGGAATCGCCTTCAACAATAATCTACATATGCCTACAGTGATGTTACACGTCATTATACTTACTATCAGCGCATATACTTTTTCCAGTTAATGATTGCATTAATGCCTCTGTAAATTCTTTTTTTGAAACCTTCTTATCACATTTCACGTTGTATGTGATCCACGCGTTTACTAACGCCATGCCTAACAAATATTCCATACCCACTTATCTGAACCATTTGAGCCCTCTTTTTAATGTAGAATAGTATGAAGACATTTGGTCGCTGAAGTCAACTCCTTTTTTTGTTGTTATTATACGTTAAGACACATGTAGGCTTTTTTATATCTTCATTCGTCTTCCTATTTTTTTTGCCAGTGTTGACAAGCACATCTTTGTCCTCTTTGAGAGTAGATATCATTAGAAGTTGCCTTTTGTCAACCCATTTAATAACTTTAACGCCATTTTTATTCATAGCTCCTTTGATTTCACCCTTCTTCAACTTTAGTAACACTATCTCCTTAGGTAGCCCCCTTCGCTTCGAATTTAGGGTACCGCAATAACGGGTTTTTTGAGATAAGAGTTCTTCCGCCAATTCAATTGAAGAGTAGAAATTGTCTGCAATTACTACACGACATTTGTTCTCCAGCCCTTGAATGAGTTTCAGTACGGTGACTTTACCATGATTTTGTTCACGGCCATTTTCTCCCTTTCCAGAATAAATTATTGAATTATATATATGCCCTTCTGGAGTGCATAACTTGTAAATTTTAACACCATACTTGTGTGATTTGTTTTTAATGTATTGTTTGAATTTCAGCCTGCCACGCCATGGTATCATTGATTCATCTATAACAATGAATTTACCTGGCGTTAATACTTCTTGGAATCTGCTGTTGAGCATATTAGCCAAATCATGAATTTTTTTCAACTTATTTGTATTGTGGATGGCTGACGAATCATCACAAAAATGCCAGAATTTCAGTAATAGCAGAAATCTATCCCGAGTCATTACAGATACAATATATTCGTTTCGATATATTGATTTTTTTGACCAATAGTCATTTATATGAGGCACTTTGTTCAGACCCATTGCGAGTAGTACCCCTAGAAACTTCCGCATTTCTATATTATTCGTAGCTTTCCATGATAATAACCGAGATTTTGTTTTTATTTCGTTATTATTTTGCTTTTCTGCGATGTGTTTTAACGCATATTTATTAGTTTCTGTAACCATTTTATCTATTATTTCATCAGTTACAAATAAGGAAAAAATACCTGCAGGAGATATATCTTCTATAGGAATATTAAAAGTGCTTTCATTTAAAGTACACGCATCCAACTCAGGTGTCAAATCTGTGACAGCATCCCATTCATTGACACTATTATCCTGTGCATCTTCCTCTTCCTCTGAAACATCATTATCTATATCCGATACAACTTCACTTGCAGAATATTCATCACTCTCATCATCGCCTGTGTCACCACTTTCCTGCTCTTCATCTTCCTCCTCAGTATTTTCCGTTTCTTCCTCTCTCTCTGCATCTTCATCTTCCTCTTCAGCATTTCCTGTTTCTTCCTCTCTCTCTTCTACATCTTCTACATCAACATTTTCTGTTTCTTTCTCTCTCTCTGCTTCGTCATTAAGTGTTTCTTTCTGTCTTTCATTTTCTTCAAACTGTTTATTACGTTCTTCGTCATAAAAAACACAATTTTCATTACTTTCAGTTAACCCTTGCGACATACTGTCTTCAAAAGAATAAGTGAATGTAAGTTTTGTCTTTGGATCTTTCCTTTCTATTTCATTTTTCTTTTTTATCTTTTTATTATCGTTTCTTAGATTTATCAAGTCATGATATTCGCTTTCATCTATTTTGATGCCGTGCATAAGCTTAGAAGCTGATATATTGTTTAGCGAAGGACTGCATCCTCTTGAGCTATACATACTAAATCGTTCCAATGACGATGAGCTAGGCGAAGACAATCCTTTTGATGTCTGTGGTGTAGGTTTATTTTTACATTCTGTAATGCAAAAAAAGGTAAGTGGAATAAAATTAATCTACACTAATATTATAAATGTGAAAGTTTAGATGTATGGATGTTTGCTACTCTTTCACGCAAAAACTACTGAACGGATTTAGATGAAACTTTACAGTAATATAAGTAAAAAATTAAATAAAATATGAAATTTTGAGAGATAGAGAGAGAGAGATATCTGTCAATAGATGCTCAGCAGAAACTATAACACTAAAAGCAAATAAATTATTTAAATTAAGACATACCTGTTTTAGTTACATGTGAAAACGAGACTGGTTTAAGAATATGAAATTTTCTTCCACTGGGGCTACTGAAAACGTCCGCTGTTGACAAAAAAAGTTTACTGTGACTCTTATTGTGTCTTATTTAGCGAGAAAAAGGAGTGTTGGGGTAAAAGCGGACGGATTATGGTTCAATTGAAAAGATGTTCAAAAAAACTAAATTTTCTCGACATCAACTGTTGAAAATAAATCATTAAAATGCAATGAAAGTGTTAAGAATAATCTTTTTCATAAAGGATGGTATTACATAAAAAAATCCCCACGTCATTATGCGTCTAAGGCTGATATGTTGATATGTGTAGGTAGTAAATAAAACTTACCGCTTGTGCTTTGTTTTCCGTGCACATTTGTTTCCAAATCCTTTTTTAGTTTTCTTAGTGGAAAATATTTCTTCACTGCTGTCACTATCACTGTCAATAACTGCAGGGCGAATTACTCTATTTTCCAAAATTTGTATTTTTCCTTTATTGCTTGCCATTGTTGATAATATCGGACGCTACGACAGAGCTGTTAGATAACACAACACTAACTGGCGGGGCGCGCGCTCTGTGCGGTATCGGGTCGCCAGCTGCCTGGTGGGAGGGCGGGCCGAAATAGGCCCACTGCCGCACTCGCGGATGTTTTTTCACCGTCAGTGCGTGGTAGGTCAATAAAAGCCTGCCGTTATGTTTTGATGGGGAACAACTACGGCATTTACCGCAAGATGAAATATATATTTGTCTCTGTCGAATTTTTACAAACACCTGAGATAATCGTTTCGCACAAGCGAGAGGGACATAGTTTTCTTCGTCCGCACCAGTTCAAGTACCGCGGCAGGCCGATATCGGCCTGTTACGCAGTAAACGTGTTAACGACACGTTTTAATGATATCAAACGGGAATATAACTCGATTTCCCACCTAATATCTAAACGTAATAAACGTTCTGCATGGTTCAGCGCAGTGGGTACCGTATTCAAACATATCTTTGGCACTATGGACGAAGAAGATGCCATAAAATACGACTCCGCCATAACTTTAGTCCAAAATGACGAAAAGGAATTAGCTCGGCTCATGAAGGAGAACATTTTAATAACGACCACTTCATTTGACGCATTTAATAAAACCATAAATAAAATAAATTACAATGAAGAAATATTAAATAATGCATTAAACGGAATACTTAATAATACAAACAATTTATTAATCGAATCAAAGGTCCATTCAATATTTAGTAACCTCGAAGCTTCACTACTCGCCTTATCGTTCCGATTAGAGGACATAACCAATGCTATTGTTCTAAGCAGTCAAAACATCCTACACCCCAGTGTTTTGTCCCCGTCACAGTTGTATAAAGAACTTATTAACAATGATAGGCACCTACCTAGAGACGCAGGGATACCTATAGCTTTAAGTATAAACAATATACATGTAATTTTAAGCATTTCCGATGTTTCCTGCTATTTCCTTAATAATAAAATTGTTTTCGTCCTACAAATCCCTCTCACAACAGACGAAGAATTCAACCTATACCATAGCATAGCCCTGCCTATCCCTCACAATTCAACTAATCCGAACATCTATAGCCTAATCCTACCTTCAACTCCCTACATCGGAATATCTAATAATAAATTAAGTTACTGTAATCTTGACAGTTTAAATAATTGTAAGTCTATACGCTCTGAGTTCCTCTTGTGTAAAATCCAGTCCATATCATTAACAAGTGGTAACCCTATATGTGAAAGCGAACTACTCACCAAGACATTCAGTGCTATACCTATTCAGTGCAAAACTAAAACACTATTCAGTGAAATGGACATTTGGAAACCACTAATGAATAATCGGTGGATTTTTGTGCAATCTCGCCCGAATAAGATAACCATCGACTGTGGTATCTCAGGGTTAAAAGAACCAATTATACTCGGCACGGGTATTTTAAATATCCCCGCACAATGCACAGTGTATACAAAGAGCACAAGGCTCGTGTCATCTGAAGCAGCTGCAAAGGTACCGAAACAAGCAATTTGTTAAGATATGTGTTTTGCTCAATACCGTTCTCAAGAATAGTATTGAGTAAAACAGTTACTTATACAAAGCACCACGTTGCAGGTGACACACAGAACCTGCGTACTGTTATACCCCATCAATGTTAGGAAATCGGTTAACACATCTCTTTCACGCTGCTGCGTCAGCGACATAAAGCCTATATAACCGATTTCCCGACGAACGCCAGTTAGTCTACAGTGAGTCTTCCGTCGGTCTACAGGAAGCCTACATTCCGTCTCAATCAGTCTTCAAGTCTCATTCCAATATCAGTCATCGTTACTAAGTCTTTACTATAAAATATTTCTAAGTCCTAGTTATTATAAGTGTATTAATTTTATTATGAATTTTATTGAATTATATTGTGTCTTGTGTTAAATAGTTTTTTTTTAAAAAGCTCTGTCCACGGTCCCGTATAATAGTACGCTTGTGGCAGACGCTACAATGGCCGCGTTTTCTTTGTTTCAGTTTCTCATTGAAGGGAAACTCTTTCGGGAAATTGCGAAGGATTTCCGTCGAGAATTTCACCTTCAAAGGGTGTGTCGGCTCCAACGTGATGACTCGCTGTTGGCCATGTTTTTCAAGGATTTTCTTGATAAGGGTTTTGCGGAATTGGCGGTGCGTGGCCACGCGAGGATGTGGATGTTCTGGTGCTGGGCTGTCTCTATGTAAAATGTACCCATTGAGCACGTCGGCGTTAAGTAGGCGGCGGAAAAACTTTTTGTACCATACCAAGTTTCGCTTCCTTTCGATGAGATACGCAGACAACATTTGGTCCTTTTTGTCTACACCGCCCATGCGGACGTTGTAGTCGTAGACCAATGTTGGTTTTGACTTCCTATCTCTGGAAGCTGAACCCGCACCGTGGTACGTCGACTCAAGGTAACAACGTTTCGGTCTTTCCAAACCAGGATATCAACATCCCCACTCGTGGCGCTGTGCACGCTGCCAACAGCAAGAGGCTGCTTTATAAGCGTCTTTAAACACATTTTGCCTATTAATCTTAGTGTTCCAACACAATCAAAACCCTTGCTTTTCAAAAGCCTAGAGAGAAGAGCACTATTATAGTAATTGTCCATAAAGACAGTATGCCCCTTGTTCTCGAGCCCCTTAAGTAGCTCGAGAACAAGGGGTGTAATATACCTCAGCTCTTTCGAATCCTCCTCATTGCGACCGGCATGCATCTTAAATCGCCACAGATACCACGAATTAGAATCGCACACCTCGTAAATTTTTATGCCCTTCGATGGTGCTTTGTTTTTGATAAACTGATTGATGCTTAACCACCCCTTCCACTGAGTCAAAGACTCGTCCAATGCGATGCATTGCCCCAATTGATAAAACGCTTGAAATTTCTCATTCAAATGCTTCATAATTGGGGATATCTTCGCGATTTTCGCGCCGCTTTTGGAGAGGTGGCTAATATCAATCTCATTATTCACAAAGTGCAGCATCTGGGAAAGGGCGACAAATCTAGTGTATGTCATGTAAACACCAAAATTCGGGGTATCGGTTACTTCGCCTTTGACGGTCCAATATTCCGTGAGATCTGATTTAAAGGCAATGCTGGTCGCAAGGATCAAAGCAAAAAAGGCTTACAGCTCGTCGGCATCTGTGTCTTTAAACATGCGCAGCCGGCTGTTAGGACCTACACTGCCCTTACTTAGTGCGGCCTCCAGCGATTGCTTCGCGTACCGATTTGTTTCCACAGCTATATCCTCCATTATGTTGCGGTCCCAAATTGATATAAAGGCTTCATAAGGTAAAGCGAAATGTGAAACCGGCCCTACCGACCCTGTGAATTTCTCCCTACGCTGCTGGGGGGGAATTGCCGGTACGGGCAACGACTCCCATTCAAAATTCGCGAGCAAGTGTGGGCCCTGGGTTGCCGATGTAGTACTTACGGATGTGGATGGCGTGGATATTTTTTTTATAGAATAAGGGGCAAACGAGCACCATGCTCCGGCTCACCTGATGTTAAGTGACTACCGCCGCCCATGATCAACCGCAACACCAGGAGAATTGCGGGTGCGTTGCCGGCCCTTTAGAAAGGAGTAAGCTCTTTTCTTGAAGGTCCCCAGGTCGTATCGGTCCGGAAAAATCGCCGGTGGTAAACTATTCCACAGAGAGGTTGTACGTGGAAGAAAACTCCTTGTGAAACGTACAGTGGTGGACCGCCAAGCATTCAGATGGTGTGGATGGTATCGGGACGTTTGCCGTGTAGTGCCTTCACGAAATTTGGCGGCTGGGATTAATCCGAACAATTCCTCAGAGCACTCCCCGTGATAGATGCGATAAAATACGCAAAGAGATGCAACATCTCTTCGCAGCGCCAGTGAATCGCGCCGATCGGAAAGCACTCGGTCGTCGATGATTCGAACCGCTCTGCGCTGGATGCGGTCAAGTGGAAGGAGCTGGTACTGGGGAGCCCCAGCCCAGAGATGGGAACAGTATTCCATGTGCGGCCGAAACTGCGCCTTGTAAAGTTGCAGGCGGTGTGCCGGCATGAAATACTGTCCCGCTCTGCTGAGCACGCCAAGCTTTTTAGAGACCAATTTGGCCTTCCCTTCCAAGTGACCACGAAACTGCACGTCACTCGATATGTCGACGCCGAGGATTCCGATACTGGCTGAGGCCATAAGGGGAGTGCCTTGAAACTGAGGGGATACGACAAAGGGGTTCTTTTAGCGGTTAACGCGCAAAGTTGTGTCTTCTGGAGGTTACAGTGGACTAGATTTAGTCGTCCCCAATCCGAGACTCTGTTCAGCAAAGACTCGACTTCAGACACAAGTTTGTCCCGGCACTCGGAGACGTTTTCCCGAGAAATATTGGCTCGGCCGGTGTAAAGAGCATCACCAGTGCTGTCATCCGCATAGCAATGAATGTTACGGGTATGCAACATATCATTGATATAAATGGATATGAATGGCGCGGGTGTGGATAGCGGCAGGCTAATTGATTCCGCCGATGATGACGGCTCGGTAGGCATGTCCATCGGAGCATCGAAATCCATAAAAGAATCTAAGTAGATTCGTTCGTTTCGAGGACACTGCATATATCCGAAGACGTCGTCATCTTCGTCCATGTCCTCGTCATCATCTGGATCACTTCCTAAAGACAATAAATTTAATTAATATATTTTCGTCATGACTGCTTCCTTTCGAATAACATTAAAAGTCAGTGACTTACCGTAGTTCACAAGATCCGCCAGCTCCGAATTCACACACACACTTCCGTTTACGACTACCAGACCTAAAACAAAACAGACACATTAATACAGACTTGACAGTAGCAATATGGAAATTGATGGCTCTTTCACTTACACGGATGAAAAGAGGTTTACAGATACACCCTTCGGGGTATCTGACGTGTTCGGAATTTCCATGAACCTAAAACGAATTTGTACAATTATTACTGAACAGCTATGTAGCAGCAGCAAGATACAAATATATGTGCCTATTTAACTTACTCAGCTGGTGACCTGCGACGCATATGCCGAGGGTCTGGGAGTCCGTAAGAGTGCCGAACTTGCGATCGATCTGTAAAAAGTTGACATGTAATACAGAGCTTGACAGTATCAATATGGAAATTGATGGTTATTTTACTTACAGAGATGAAGAGGGCCTAGGACTTACACCCTGCGGGGTATCCGGCCTACTCGGAATCTCCATGATTCTAAAACGAAATTTGCACAATTATTACGGAACAGTTCTGTAAAAGCAGCAAGATACAAATATATGTGCCTCTTTAACTTACTCAGCTGGTGAGGGCACATGCGACGAATATGCCGAGGGTCTGGAAGTCCGTAAGTGTGCCGAACTTGCGATCGATCTGTAAAAAGTTGACATGTAATACAGAGCTTGACTTCGCAGCGCAGCTTATTATTATTATTATTATTATTATGTGCGGCCGAACCTGCACCTTGTAAAGTTGCAGGCGGTGTGCCGGCATGAAATACTGTCCCGCTCTGTTGAGCACGACAAGCTTTTTAGAGGCCTTCTCTTCCAAGTGACCAAAAAACTGCACATCATTGGGAGATACGACGAAGGGGTTCTTTTTAGCGGTTAACGCGCAAACTTGTGTCTTCTGGGGGTTAAACTGGGGATTTTAGAGTTACGAGCAATCGCATGAGCTACTCTGGCACAAATGCGACTCACAGTTGGTTGTGTTAAACCATGAAGGTCTTCACCATCATCTTGAATCTAAAACGGATAGGTACAAAAACGTTTACACACTCAGAATGGTATTATTACTTGTATGCTACGAGTTGAGGCTTACTTGACGACGTCCCCAACGGCAAGTAACACCTGCAATTCTGATGATGTGCCACAACGCCTTGGGTCCAGTTGTAAATCCTGCCTGACGAGATCAATTATAAAAGATGACGTATGTTTATTGAAGCGGTATCGCTTTTTAAACTCTTAATCGGGCAAAGAAAGCGGATCATATCTCTTCTGGTAAACCTTACGACGACGATGCGGAGCATTTCCTACTTGCTCCATAGCTTCTAAAGCTTGCAAAGCTTGCATAACGACACTTTTTAGGAATCAAAATTCACAAAATACAATTTCACCAACAATAACCTATACGACTTAGGGCGGATTTGACAAAACGAGAGTAAATTTTATTTTTAGAATAAATTGCTATTTACTCGAGAGTAAGCTCAATTTGCATTCTACCAGTAATTAACCCATGGCTAAAGTCACTATTATCACGAGAGTATACTTATAGAGAGGAGAAGATCTTTTATACGGCCGATTTTGGTGGAGTAAAACCTTAAACCAGGAATAATGAAATGTCTAAATGTTAGGTTATGTACATTTATCTTGTCAAAAATCATTAGTCCGTGTTGATATTCCTTGTTTTTATGTGGTTTTAAATCAAAAGCTCGCCAAAATGGAAAGGTTGAGAAATGTAATCGAAGAATCTGATAGCGACGATGATTATGTGCCAAGGCGTCCAAGGTGGATAAAGGAAAGAGCTAATCACTTCGAAGATTATGATGACAAAGACTTCGCTGTTAGATTTCGTCTATCCAAGGAGGCCACTCTTTGTTTGCTAACTAAAATTGAGCATAAGTTGGAATATTCGTCAAACCGGTGAGTAGGTACATTGTCTGGTACTTACCTATAAATAATGTAGCTACCTGTTTAGTACAGTATCCGTCCACCTACTTGTTTATAAACTTTATCATTAAAACAATATTCAAAATGGCTGGTGGTCTACCTCCAGAATGTTCGACCCATTCTTAAGCCAGTTTGTGACTGCATTGGTCTTGATTCTAACATAATCAATTTTATTTTACAGAAATTTCTCCATATCACCGATAAATCAGTTGTTAGTAACTTTGAGGTTCTATGCAACTAATTCTACGCAGATGAGTATTGGTGACTATGGAGGTATGAGTACCACCACTGCAAACAAAATTGTACATCAAGTGACTGCTGCAATAGCCTCCCTACACAAAGACTTTATAAAATTTCCTGAAACAAATTCTGAAATAAGGAAAGTGCAAGAAGACTTTTATCAGATAGCCCGCTTTCCAAGAGTAATCGGTGCAATGGATTGCACACATATTCGAATTGCCTCTGTTCCGTTACGGTTACAAGTAGGTGGTGAACAAGCCGAATTATTCTGTAATAGAAAGGGATATTTCTCTATAAGTGTGCAGACAATCTGCAATGCTAATCTTGAGATTATAGATATAGTAGCTAGATGGCCTGGATCATCTCATGATAGCAACATATTTAACAATAGTTACAGGAAAGCACAATTTGTATATGGTACATATGGTAATGCAGTATTGGTAGTAGATGGGGGATATGCATCAACCTCATACATGATGCCTCCTTTAGAGAATCCCAGAGGACCAGTGGAACAGCTCTACAATGAATCACAAATCAGGACACGAAATCCTGTGGAACGCAGCTATGGATTATGGAAGTGGCGCTTTCCAGTGCTTGCATTTGGAATGCGTATAAAACTGGAAAGAATTCTGAATGTTATCATCGCTACAGCTGTTTTGCACAACATTTTGAGACGTCGACGAAAACAAGTACCCCCAGATGATTCAGAAATTATCCCCCTGCCCCCTGGAATCAAATTATAAATGATGGACAGATACCCTCTGTTGTGGATGCAGGATCTACCCGAGAATATAGGGCACGAGATGCACTAATATCAGATTATTTTCAAAATTTATTGTGAAAAGTTTTGTTCTATTGGTAAGTTTAATTTTGGGTGTTTTTTTGTTACTAACATGTGTCCGTTATTTTAGCCGGCCCATTGAAACCAAACTTTGTGGTGTGAAAGACTGACTAACTTGAGACAGTTATAGGCAGTTTTTATACAGTTTATCACACCGGCAAAATTATGGGTTTTGAAGGTGGGTAAGCCAAAGGAACGGACACTACTAACATAGTATGTAAGTTTATTGTTACCAAAAAAAATAAATGTTATTAAAAGCTATAAATACAAACTAATCATGGCATGTTGTATATTTTTATTAAATTATTTGAATCATTTGGTTTTAGCGACGCATACACACACCAACAGTCATTGATATTTATCAAATAGGAAATTAGGTACATTATTAGTAGTATATAAGGTAGGAAATTAATTATTACATTTCTTCTGAATTTTCCTTGTTCTCTTCTTGATATTCACTCTGTTTTTGTCTTAACTCCAATAATAACAGCTCGGTTTTAATTTTTTCCTGTTTTAAAATTTCTTTTTCAATATCAAGTTCTATTTGCGCAATTAGTTTTTTTTGGTCTGCCTCTTCCGCAGCTATATTTTTTTGCAAATTTATTGCTTCAATTTTATTCTTGTGGAGCATTTCTAGCGAATTTGTTGTGGAATTATGTTTAGGTCTTCTCCTTGATATCCCGCTTCTTTTGTCACTAGCTGTTTTCAGTGAGGCAGATACAGGAGTCCTTAGTAACTGAGGACTATAATCACCCCAATCCTGCTGTACAGACAATGGAGTCCATGGATCCTAAAAGGAAATAAGTAAAATATTTAATTATCATCAGCATCACACACACATATCTTTAGCCTATGGTCCACTGCTAGACAGGCTTTAGGCTAAATCATCATCATCATATCGTGTGGGACTAGTAGATAGTAGGCCGCAGGTGAGTAACGCATAAAACAACCATAAAGTTCTGAGACCATTTCAATAGGTTATAAATTTTATCAAAATTTGTTCAGCTGGGTCATTAGCAGGTCGTCCCATTTGCAACTCGTTCCACTTAAGAATCTTGTCCCATTTGCAACTCGTTCCATCAATATAGAACATAAAACAACCATAAAGTCCTGAGACCAAATCAACTTGTTACAAATTTTATTAAAATTTGTTCAGCTGGCTAGGCATAAAATGTCACCAACAGATAGTAAAATTGATATGAATTCAAAATAAAATTGATATTTTTTATATGGATTTCAAAACCAAGTACAATATAAATCAACTGTAAATCATTTCCAAAATCAAATAATTATTATAATTTGTATTACTTTGATTTCCTAATTTTGATTTCATTAAAATAGTTAAATATTCTGCAATATACAGCTGAACTGATTTTTGTAAATTTTGTAACAAGTTGAACTGGTCTCAGGACTTAACGGTTATTTTATGTTCTATGTTTATGGGACGAGTTGCGAATGGGTCGACCTGCTAACAACCCTTTGTGGGCAATGCTTGAATGTAACTAACTTATAAACTGACTACCTTAGGTGTTTGTGTTTCACATCCCGACATGGTCACATCATCCATTGGAAGCTCTGAGTTATCTGTAAGAATAGATAATATAAACTTTGATTTGTAATTTGCCAACTATTTTAGAATAGTGAGAATTTGTGGAAACAACATTCGTTCAAAATCAGTAAATATTAATATTAGGAAAATGCAAAAGTGCTATGATTGTATCTTACAATATATTATTCTCGTATAATGTAAATACACCAAAAAAATTCCACTAACCTTCGATTATTATTTGGAGAGATTGCGGTATATCCACATATTGCACAGGAGTAATTGTTGCTTTTTGGCCACCCTCCTCATATTGGGTGGGAACGGCCGGAAGAATTGCATCACTATCATAAGGATTATATAAGCCTAATGCACTTGTGGATATAAGGCTCAATATCTGCTTAGTACAGGGATCCTCTTTTTTAGGTAAAGCTGATCCACCACCTAAAATAAATAAAGTATATATTATATTAAAGGACCTACATTAAACAAATTATATATAATACATAATACTTCATAATTTTGAACCTACCTGTCTTTAGGATAGCCATTCATGTATTTGCAGCCTCTTTTTTGCAGCTTTTTTCATGGCTTCCCATTGTACTTTTAAATTTTAAGCCAGTCGAGGTATCAGGGCCGTTTGCGAGTTATATTCTTGCATAATGATTTTCCACTCTTCGGATTTTTATCGTAAAGTCGTGCCATCGGTTTTTTTGTTTTCTATAATAGGGTTTCGCTACCAACTCAACCAACAGGCTCTTCTCTGATGCCATCCAGTTTGCGCTTCTTTTTCTTTTCGGTGCAGAAATCGTGCACGGTAACCAACTCCGCCAAATAAATCAAATTATATTTAAAAATCGCTTTGACTTGTCAAAGAAAAGAAAATACACACAAAACAAACAAAAATACGCTCGCTTTGATTGAGGTTAGAAAATAGTGACAGTCACAGAGGGTGACAGTGAAGTGACGTTTTAAATCTGCCAAATATAATAGTACATTTCTCAAGTATAGTGCTACGTACAGAAACAATAACTTGTTCGTTTAGTAGCATTATATATTAGGTAATTTCATTCGTAAATCCTATTCACTGCCATAGACAACCAAAGAATTACTATACAAGAATAATTTTAATCTAGGTATATTTTGGTAGAACGTAAACGAAATTATCCTTGAGTTAATATTGAGAGTAAAATTATCCCTGGTATAGTTACTCGCGTATAAGTTCAAGTTTGATCGAATCCACCCTTAAACAATCAGCTGTTCGTTGCTCGCACGCAAATCGGTCATATTTTTCTTTATTACAGGTTTATAGTAGGGTGCACCCTTCTATAACTTATGAAGCGGTTATAGAACACTTATAATGCGTTTTGGCGTTATTAAATGTTCATGAATAGTGTTTTACCGGTACCTCCTTATAACAAGCTTTTTATGAAAGAGACCGTTAGAGTAAACATCAATATTAAAGTATTTTGTTGTAGCCGTGGATGGAAAAGGGGAGATCTCCCGCCAGGCAAGTTGTTCTGCCCGGGTAGCGGTCAACACTCCGTGTGATAGTTCGGAGATGTTCTATATATACTGTTTCTGATTCGGAATTTTGATAGCGTGATTTATGCTTCGGTGTGTTTCGCTTGCAGCGCGACGACAGCGCCGCCACATCACTCCCCTGCTCAGACCGGAGATCGATGGTACAGTCTAGTTGTCGACGAATGTGCATCCATTCCACATGGCACCTTGTCTCAGGGCTGGACAGGGCAGCCGATGTGACACCAACCCTGAATAAACCTGAGCCGTTAAAGACTCCAATTCGGCCATGGTGAGGTGAGTCTTCTCTTCTATGAGGACCCTCAGGAGGTTACGTAAACCCTCACTGCCCTTTACCCAGCTTCTCAATTCCAATACTGTCTTGATATTGTTGTACAGCTTTTCTGGTCCTGGTTCTAGTTTGAGACCCTATGTATGGTGTTCTTGGTCCTCTCTCGTGGAAGAAGTCATTACGTGATTCTCCAGACCAGCTTATGAATATGGCCGGGGGTGCCATCTTTTCTGTCACTTTGTGTTACTTTTTTCATTAAATTCGAAAATGGAAAAAATAACCGATTTTTTTTTACATTTTTTTTCTTTTCTAAGTCTTTTTAGGATCTAAATACAATTTTGCAGTTAAAAGTTTGCTTTTATTTTATTACGCGTATCTTTATCTATCCAATGAGACATCTTTTAAGAATGTAGGACTACTACATCGGTGAATATTGTAATTTTAATGCGCGGGGCCCACCACATCCCACCATATTTTTGAAAGAATTAGTTATTATCCCCCATATTATATAAGGTACCCAAAAAAATGTTTTTGTAAGATTTTATTACACAGTTTGTAGTTGTGATTAATGTCTATAACTATGCTAATTTACAGCTTTGTAGAAACTACGGTCTCCGAATAAAACCGTGGACGGACTGTCGGACATGGCGAAACTATAAGGGTTCCATTTTTCACAAAAAAGAAAAAAATCTGGAATACTATTAAGAGCTGCAATATATTTGACTTGATGTAAGTGCGCAATATATATATATATATATATATATATATATATATATATATATATATATATATATATATATATATATACTACCCCATATCTTCCCGTGGGTGCCGTAAGAGTTGACATAGGGAGGCGGATTAGGAGATAGGCAGTCGCATCTTCCTAATAACGAATAAAAGAACTGCGGTTGTCAATTCGCTTGCCAAGCGTGGCAACTGTGGCATATATCCTCACTGTGAGGACGTCTATGGGGCAGGCCTATCTTCATCAAAAAAATGCAAAATGGCTATAATTCATCAAAGAACATATCCCTACACTCCTGAGCAAAACGGGCTTTGTAAACGTATGAATAGGACTCTGACCGAGAAAGCAAGATGCTAAGACTAGGCAAGGAATTTCTGGCTGAAGCCATTAACACAGCAGTCTATTTACAAAATAGAATTGTAAAAAGTGGATTTGAATCACTGTACACCGTACGAGTTGTGGACAGGAGGCAAACCCAACCTCAGTCATTTAAGGTTTTTTGGTAGTACTGTCATGAGACATATACGAGACCCAAGGAGAGAAGACGTAAGTGGGACAAGAAATAGAACAATGGAAACTGGTTGGTTACCCTGAGGATGTCAAAGTGTATAGGTTATACAATCCTTCAACAAATGCTATTATAACCAGTCGAGATGTTGTCTTCATAAAAGAAAAGTTATCTCATCAAGAAAATATGATTGACATGGAAGTGATAGAAGACAAAGCAGCAGAAAATAGTCCACATACATCTTCAGTGGGAGAGGTGTCAGACCAAGATTTCGATCAAGAGGATTCATTCATTTCGACGAATGACATGGATGAAACCTATGTACCAAAGGAGGAGTCCATGACATCTGAGGAAGAGCAGCAACCAGAAACCACATCAAAATCACAACGGGTGAGACAAAAACCAGAAAGGTTTCGATATATGTGCACAGAACAGTGTAATGAATATTTTAGTGATGAACTGACATTAGAAGAAGCACTAAGAGGACCAGAGAAGGAGCAATGGAAACAGGCAGTGAAAGAAGAGCTGAAAAGCTTCAAAGACAACAAAGCGTGGGAAGTTGTTGATATTCCTGCAAGTGGCAATATAGTTAAGTACAAGTGGGTTCTAAGAAAAAGGTGTGATAGTGAAAATAATGTCTGCTATCGAGCCAGATTTGTGGCTAAAGGGTGTAGTCATAATACGGTGTGGACTATAGTGAAACATTTTCTCCAGTTGTACGGCATACAACACTTAGGTTATTATTCGCATTATCAGTGCAGTTGAACCTAGAAGTAACACATCTTGATGTGAAAACTGCTTTCTTAAATGGAGATCTGTCTGAGACAATATATATGCTAAAGCCTTTAGGTTATGTCTTTACAAATAATAAGGTTTTAAAATTGAAGAAAGCTATATATGGTCTCAAACAGGCATCTCGTGCATCGCATAGGAAAGTGGATGGTTGCATGTTAGCTAATGGTTATATTAAGTCCCAAATAGAGCCATGTTTATATACAAAATTTGCTGGCAGCAGTAAAAAAATCGTGACATTATATGTCGATGATTTCTTTGTATTCTCAAATGATAGAAATGAAACTAGTAATCTTAAGAATGTGTTAAATAAGAATTTTGTATTAAAAGACTTAGGAATTGTAAAGGAATGTCTTGGCATGTCAGTTGTATTTGGTAAACAAAATGGTACTGTGACTTTAAGTCAAGAGAAATATATTGATAAATTGTTGTCTAAGTTCAATATGGTTGATTGGAACACTGTGAATACTCCAATGGAGGTCAACTTAAAATGTAAGAAGGAAAATGATTGTAGTAATGAAAATCCCTATCAGCAGCTTATCGGGAGCCTGATGTATTTAGTTGTGCTCACACGTAGTTTATGCAGTGTCATATTTAAGGCAATTCAATAATTGTAATACTGAACAACAATGGGTTTATACCAAAAGAATTTTAAGATATTTGAAAGGAACAAAAGATTTAGGTTTGAATTATAGTAAGGGCAAAAATGTAAACATTGAAGGTTATGTTGATGCAGACTGGTGCAGTGATGTTAATGATAGGAAATCATATTCAGGATTTTGTTATACTTTGTCTGGGTCTGTTATATCTTGGAGTTGTAGTAAGCAAAAATGTATTACACTTTCTAGTACCGAATCTGAATATGTATCCATATGAGAAGCCTGCAAAGAGGCAGTTCATTTGAGAAATTTACAATTTGAACTTACTAAAAGTTTATAAAATCATTTTATATAATGATAGTATGAGCGCACAGAAATTGTTGTTAAACCCTGTATTCCATAATAAAACGAAGCATATTGATGTCAGATATCACTATTAGAGAATTAATTAATGAAAACATTACAAGTGTTAATTATCTATGTACATCAAATATGCCTGCAGTTTTTTACAATAAGTCTAGCTGCTGTAAAACATTATAAACATTTGAATTCTTTAGGAATTGTTAAAGTGTAATTGTTTCTTTTGTTTATATAGTTTTTTTAATGTCTATATTTTGAGTGGGAGTATTATAAATAGCAAAATATAGATTATGTACCTACTACTAGCGACATCTCGTACCAAAGTGTGAACAAATGTTGTCTATGTGATTCTTTACTTTTGTCTTTTGAAAATATAGTTCTGTTCATTCTTGTACTCACTGAGTCACGTTGTTTTATTACAAAAATTAACAAGAGCACAAGAAAACAGCTGTGTATTATTCTGTGCCTACCCCGATGCATATACATTTCAAAAAGTATTAAGCCAAAAACACGTCCATTTTTATCTATGAATTATATTTCCATATTTCTGTCAGCAGTTTGTTATCTCTACTTGTTTGTTAAATAAAAAAAAAAACATTATAAAATATACGTCATTATTAAGCTGCAATATGGATTTACATCAAAAATATTTGACTATGTAAATGTTATTTGACTTTTAATTTTCACTGGTTTCATGTTAGAGATAAAGATATTATTTTTATATTAAGTATCTGATCGTAGATTACAAAATAATATTACTATCTGCAGAGTTAACAACACATTAGATAAGCATAATAGAAGCACCTGATTCTGTCGCGGGGTATGGTCCAAAAATATTAAGGATATAACTATTACACAAGTAAAAATGGCTTAACTCATTTACAATACTTATGCGAACTGTATATTTTCTTCTCGTACAAGTAATTACTATTATAAATATGTACTACCGTCTATGCTGTCTATCCACTACGGCTGGCATAAATTTGGGGTCTATGTCAGCTGTCCGTGTCTACTAAATAAGCCACATGGTCATAAGCCATATTGTCATTATTTATTTATTCATTTAGAAAACCACAAAGAAGTTTACAATATATATTATGCTTATGGTATATTTCTTTTTAGGTCACACATAGGGTATAAAATATAGAATAATTATGTGTGAGACCTAATTTTGTAAAAGAATTCAACCTTAATTTCTAAAATATTATTTTATCATGTATTAGAGGTTAGAATTTTGTGTATTTGTGTGTTAGCATGTTTGCGCGTGCGCGGGTGTGTTTGTCTATGCATTTTTTTTGGAATTTATTTCTTTATTTAACAGCAAGTGAACTAGCTGTCTATTGTGTAATCTCGTACTGCAAGAAAAGATAATATCCATTGAATAAATTTTTTGTTGTATGTGTCAACCATACGATGAAGTGGCGATCGGATACCGGCGTTTGTCCATGATATTGGCGCAGCGAAGAGGGAGTGAAGACGCAAAGAACGTGTACGAGTACGAGGTGGTATGGAGTAATTAACACGATTTATTAAATCTGCGCAATCATACTTGTTGTTGCACAGGTCATTAAGTAATCTTGCCTGAAGTTGAGTGCGTCGAGACTTTAACTCCAAGAGTTAATATTTTGTTAAATGGAACACATACGATAAACGCTTACAGTGATATTTGTAATTAACGCGACGCAAGTACTTTTTTGTACCATTTCAATGCTATGATTAATTTTTTTATAAAATGGGTTCCACACAGGCACTCCTTACATCAATTGTGGCCTGACCAGAGATTTAAAAATATAGATTAAAGTGATGGGGTTTCTAAATTCAGTAGAAGAACGCATAACAAGTCCGTACATTTTAAAAGCTTTACTAATTATGTTTTGTATATGATTATCAAAATGTAATTTGTTAATTATAAGTCACTCCCAAATCCCTTATATTATTCATCTTTACAATATCTGTATCGTTAAGAGAATAATTAAAGTAGTTTATATTCCGTTTTTTTTTTATAAAAGTGATAACTTTACATTTATTTAAATCGAGTCGTAAATTATTAAGAGCATAGTAATTGTTAAATCTGTCTAGATCTTCTTGAAGCAAATAGTGTTTCTCTATCTTATCCATGCATTGGTATATTTTGAGATCATCAGCATACAAAAGGATTTTTTGGACATTTATTGTAGGTTACCCATATTTATTTTGCTAGGTAACTAGGTGTGTATCTACT